TCCCTACACATTCATTTTAAGAGAGGCTTCAGCTCCCTCAGGAGTTTTTAAAATTTCTTAGTTCTTAGAATATATGTTTCCCTTTTACAATTTAGAGAAAGGAACCGGCAGCCCATAGTAGTTCATCATTGTAGCAGGATTCAGCAAATGTTGTATTATAATTGTTATGTATAATACTTGCAAAGAAAAATCTCTGCTGTATTTATAGTTATTTATCCTTTTCATTCTGTATTTTCTTACTTGCATCTTTCCTCTTTTTTTGCTTGATTAATCTCGCTAAAGGTCTATCTCTATTATTGATTTTATCAAAGAACCAGCTTATGGTTTTTTAATTTACTGCATTATTTTTGTTGTTATATACTTCACTTACTTATTCTTGTTTCCTTTGGTATTCTCTCTTGCTTTTTAAAATACTTCTAAATTGGATGCTTAACTCATGTGTGTTTAAACATTCTTATTTTATGACAAATGTGTTTAAATCACTTAATTTCCATTATGATTTCATCTTTAACCCAAGGGTAATTTAGTAATAGTTTATTCAGTTTCTAAATATGTCTTAAAGCTATTCTTAATTATCTGGATAGCTAATTTTAATCAATTTATGGTTAGAAAACATAGTATGTAGAGAATTAATCCTTCAGCACTAGTAGAGCTTCCTTTGTAGCCTATCACATTATTTTTATACATATTCTATATTGCTCAAAAATAATATGAACTATCCAATAAGTGGATTATTTACCATCTGAAGTCTCAACCTGGTTTACTGTATTGTTTAAAATTTTGATATCTATGCCTATCTTTCCTCTGCTTCAACTATTAATTTCTCAGAGATGTACGTGTGTAAAATAATCCTCTACATTTGTTGACTCATTAATCTATTCGTATCTGTCAGTTGTTGCTTAAATTTGTCACTCTTTTAGCTAACAAGAACTATATTTTAATATGCTCTAATTTCTTTTTGGTCTCTCTTCCCTTTATCTCTGCTGTTATGCTATTCTCTGTGCATCAGTTTCTTCATCTGAATGTAATATTTTTTACTAGTTGTTAAGAGTAAAGTTAATATTTGTAAAGCACTTAGAATAGTACTTGGCATGTAGTATTATGTGTTTGGTTAGTATAAAAATGGCTAGAGGTGGTCATTGAAACCACAGGCATGGTTGAAATCACTTGAGGAGACAGGATAGTTTGAGAAAATAAGAGGATCAATCATCAAGATTTAAGGGACTCTTCTGTTTAATGTCTAAGTGAGGGATAAACCTTCAAAAGAAACTGAAAAAGAGTGCATAAAAATGTAGGAGGAAATCCAAGAAAGTATATTACCAATGGCATCAAGAAGAATTAATTAACAGCGCTGCAGAATAAAGATTTGAACAAATCTTTATACTATTTGTGATAAATAGTATCAATTGAAACAGCTAAATGAGTGGTTTAATGAGTACAGTGGACACTCTGATGCATCTCCCAGACCTCCCTTGCGAAATGAAGGTCTTATTCTGCCAGTTACTGGAGTGCTGCCAGCAGACATGCCTCAGCTATCAGCCTCCTTGAGGAATTACTTTGGCTAAGGAGATCATCCTTGCCTAAGGTCATGCACCCTTTCTTGGCAAAGCCTGCATCCCACTGGGGAAAACTTCAGAAGTTCATCTTAAAAAAAAAAAAAAAAAAGGATCATCTTAATTTTAGAGCTCTATGTGGGATAGTCTAAGGCCTTTGTTGAGACTGGGCATCACAACCCAACGTCTCCCTCTGCCGAGTTTTGCTCCCTTTTCTTCCCTTCTACAGATACTGATCCCTAATAAACTTCAGGCACACCAAAGTCCATCTCAAGAGTCTGCTTCCCAGGGAACCCAATCTGTGACAATGAGTTTCATTTATTAGAAGTGCTGATGGATATGAGGTGAAGCCAAACTGCAAAGTTAAGAAATGAATGGTGAGAAAATTTAACAAGCCAAGAATAGGCAACTCGTTCAAGTAGTTTTGCTTTCACAGATAGGATGATGATCAGAACCAAGACAGTATTAAGGGCTCACCACTCTGCCCCCTCTTTAGTATGGGAAATATTTGACTGAAAGATAAATGCCAGTTACACACACAGGATTCGACATCGCTAAAATTAACCTTTAACAAAGAATGAACAGTAGTTAAAAAGTATTACTTTCTGTATCAGAACATCAAGATCTTTCATCAGTACTAGCTGATTAAGGAGTTAGGAGAATAAGTACCCAGCATTTTTAAAAAAACAAAATGAACATTTTAACTTGGCTACCATACGTCAATCTCCTAAATTTGAGCCAGTTTATTTTTACTGCCTCTAGCTGATAAAACTGGATCTCCTAAACCACTCCTCCCACAACTTCCTTCTAGTCCCAGCTGAAGCCAGAGACTTAACCTGTTCCTCAGATAAGAGATTTTAACAGCGGGAATCAAGAGACTTCCGCAAAGTTTTTCTCTGGAGATCCAAATAAAGACGCCAAAAAGTAAGTCTATATGGGGAATTAAACTTTTAGAGAATCAAGTAGTTAACTATATGACAATAAGTAATTTCGAGCGAGGATTAAGGGTGGGGTGGAGAGAGAGATTAGGTTAAATCTCGAGGCAAAGCTTCAAGAAACGAAAAAACCCAAGAAACCCTCAGGAAGTAGCAATAATACAGGCGCTTGCCACAGGCAGGCGTCTAAAATTTTCTCACGCCAGGAGCGCATATGGCTTCAAGAGGGCCCTCCGATGTCTTTTAAAGCACTGGCGGGAGAGGAAACTTACACTAGCGGGAGAGGAAACTTACACTAGCGGCGAATACAAAGGCAGAAACTTTGCGATTGACCCCGGAAACATTTTATTTTGCGTAGGTATCTGGAGAATTTTCTTTGGCGATTCGTTACTTAATCCGGAAGAAGAGACAGCAAACATCACCTGCGATTGGATTGCAGCATAAGGGCGGGGCGTTAGCGAGCCATTCACCTTGGCGACCGGATGTGGCGATACCGGAAGCTGCTAGGCTGAGCTTTGCTCTCGCTGGCGGCCTTGGTGGGCGGGGTTGGCCGAGCCCGTCTGGCTTGGTCTTCACCACTGACCCGGCACCGATAGGGGCGGCGCCACTAAGGCCACGCCTCCCGCGCTGATTCCCGGTGACTCTGGAGCGATGTCCTAGGCGCTGAGGAGGCGGAGACTCAGGGCTGTTTTCTCAGAGGTTAGGGACGGACCCGCCCCGTCAGCCTCTTCGATTCTTCCGGTTTCTGGTGGCTGTGCCGCCTCCATCCGAAGCCTGAGGATACGCCCTCTCGAGAGCCCGCCGTCGCTCTCCTTTCAGCTTCTAACCCCTCTGATCTGCTACGGGGCAACTCCATCCCTACATTCTCTCGGTCTGGTTCTCGCCACTTGGAGGACCTCGGCCCCGACACTGCCCCCTTTCCTGGATGTACTGGTCCCTTCCACTCCTCTAAAATGTCCAATAACCTACAGAGGGTCTTCCTGAAACCTACAGAGGAAAAGTCAGGCAACGCCTCGCACTGGTAAGTACCGGTTTCGAATCTCCCTCGACATGGCCGCACCTCGCCCGTCTCTTAGCAGGATGTCGAGTCGGCCGTCGTTTCCTGACGTTCTGCAATTCAGATGCCTTTGATCCCGCTGGGTGAGCACTCCAGGGGAAGTGCGCGGCAGTTTGGCACTTAGAGCCCTTAGAGCACATCCCTGTCGGAAACGTAAAACCTCTTCAGAGCCTGACGCAGTCAGCCTCTGCCCTGGCTCCGCAGGACTCCAGCGTCTGAAGTTTCATAGGCTGACAGAGTAGATCTCCACGGGAGAGGAAAATCAACATGGCCGGCGCGCCTGTGTGAGCAAAATCTTCTGGAAGATTCTCGCGCACTCTCAGAAAAACACGCAGCAATCCGCGCGGATTAGCAAGTGCAGCTCAGGTGGCGCTGGACCTTCAGGGAAAATAGCTGTAATTTAAGAGAGTTAGTGAGAAGGGAAGGACATATTATTGTGTAATTGATAAGAGTATATGAATATAGAAACCGAAAAATTGTTCTGGAATAAGGGAATCGAATTTTTTAAATTTCGAATAATAGCTTTATTTGAAGATAAAGAAAAGTGAAGATAGAGAAATTATCATGTAAAGTTAATCCCTTCGAACAGCATATTCGAAGCAGGTGTAATGAGAATGTCGTCTCGAATTGGATGTTTATGTAGAGGAACTACGTTTGTCAGGGGGAGATTCTAGTATTTCTTAGACACTTATTTGTAAATTTAGACAATAGTTTATCACTAACTCAGTGGTTTTTTTAAGCTCAAATTAATCAAGAAGAAATAAAACTGGAACAAAATTGTTTGCTAAGGTAGAATATTTTAAGTTGTACTCTCTATGGTTTGTGGGTATATAATAAGTGGCGAGAAGAAAGTTAACGAGTCCCTGCAGAAGGAAAATGTGAAGAAGAAAGCATGGAAATGGAGATGTAAAAATCATGGAAGAGCATTTTTAATTGAAGAAAATCGGGCTCACTAGGTTTAATGCTAGCTTTGCTAGTTACTATTTGTGAGGCCAAGAGACCTAGAGGTATTTTAAGGATTAAAAGAATGAATATACTAAAATACTTAGTGTAGGAAAAATAGAAAAGCATTATTTAAATGTTAGCTATTATTATTATCGTAAGGATACAACTTTACTTCTGTACAAATTTTAGCCGAGGAAGTAGGTAGTTACAAATAGCTATAAAACCTAATTGTAATAAACACTTTAAAAAAGTATGCATAATATTCTAAAGAGAAATGGTCACCAAAGGTGTTGAGCTAAAACCATATGGAAGAACTGCCAAGAAAGAACCATTGTATTTCAGATCTTAACAAGAGCCAGCTTTTGTGCATGTATGTTTTTTGTTGGCTTATTTTTGGTGGAAGTTGAGGGGGAAGGCAGAGGTAGTGCCCTGTATAGATATGCAAAAATAGAATTAGTCTTTAATGATTGTTCATTTCTTCTATCTTGTTTTAGTACTGGATATTTGATAACATCTGATTTACCCTAATTTAACACAATTTGTTTCAGGATTGCATTCTTTTTCAATATCAGAAATTAGATAGAGTAAGAACCTTATTTTTTGTGTATTGTGTAATTTAACTCTATTATCCAGTTTCTGCTTCTTTTGGCTATCTATATTTTTAAAACATTACAAGTTGAATTCTGTTTTAGTTACATTCATCAGTTATCTGGAGTTCATTAACTCATTGGTTTATGCATTATTTTTTTTATCATTTTTGAATGCATTTATTTCTTCAAATCCTCTAGATTTTAAATCACATACTTCAGACATTTACAAGATGCCTTTCTGAAACTGTTTGACATTTACTTTGGTTATTGATTGCATATTTGATTCTATTCTTTTTAATAAGTAACAATCTGCATGATGTCCAAATATACTTTTGCAAATAGTTGGATTAATGTCATCTCTTTAGTTTATTGGAAGCTTCATTTTCTTATATTTCTTATATTTTCTTATATTTTGATGGTACAAAATCATTTTTTTCATAAGTTTAAAATGACTATGATTTTATTATTTTCTGTAGGTACTTGAATTTTTCTTGAGTTACTTCTTTCCTGCTGTAAAGTTTTTCAGTAATGTAATACAGAATGTTTATTGTTTAAAAAGTATCTCTTCATCAGTGCATAAAATGTAAAACCCAAATTTAATCTTATAGTACAAAGGAAAAATCTGGAACATATTTGTGACGGTAAACATTAAGTTTATTTAGATTTGGACTTCATATGCAAAGAGCAAAGCAGGAGTCAGAATGGTACAGTAGAGTTACAAAGACCTTGGTAGAGTTACAGAAACAAGGTAGAGTTACAGAGACCTAGGTTCATATTCTAGGTCACCACTTATTATCTGTATCATTCAAACATTTGGTTAAAAAACGTTCACTGAGTGCCTGCTATGTGACAGACTGCTAAATGGAGAGACTGACTAAAGAGTAGGATATGGGCCATGCCCATGAAAAACCTTAAGTCTAGAGGTGGATATGATGTAATACACTTTTTAATAGTGTTATGCACAGGATGATGCTGTGAGGGCATACAGAAAGGGAATTGTAGGAAAGGTTTCTGGAGTGGCTGAGTTGGGGAATGTAAGTATCAGCTATCCAATTAAAGATGAATGCAGGCTATGCCAGGAAGAGGGAATTGATTAAAAAACAAAAAGCAGCAGTATGACTTATTACTAGTAATAAGTGGGATAAATAGAGAGCTCTTAAGGGTTTGCTGAAAAGATTAGACTTCATCTGTTGGAGAGCCTTCAGAGGATTTTAAGAAAATAACTGTCATGGTCAGGTGTCGTTTTAGGTAACTGATGGCAGTGTGGATTTGGGGGTGAGGGGTCAGGCATATAAGGATTCTATTTCAGTTGTCCTTTCAGATATTCTGAAAGCCTGCACTAGCTAATGTAGAGCAAGGGTTGGATTCAAAGAAATATAGAAAGGAAAATAGGCAGACCTTGTCAGTGAATTGGCATGAAGAAAAGTGGATCAATTATGGTGCCAATTTTCTGGGTAGATATTGGTAAATTAATTGAGGTGAGGAACACACCAAGAAAGCAATCAGTGAGATATTTGAATCTGAAACTCAGGCAGGGTCAGAGCTGAAAATAGAGAGTGATAGACAGTTGGCTTCTATCTGCCTTTGACCCTTTGTTCTTAAATAGGGAGCTAAAATGGGTGTCCTCAGCAGGGGGCTTGGTTTGGTTAGAGAGACAACGTTTCATTGTCAGTTCAGTGTGCATTTAGTTTGTACAGTGTGTTATTATCTTAGCTTTTGTGATTTGTGTGTGTGTGTGTGTGTGTGTGTGTGTGTGTGTGTGTGTATGTGTACAAGAGGCAGAGAGAGAGAGAAAGACATACATACCATAAGGCTAACAAATCTATTTCTCATTAATCTCTCAGTTTATTCATGAATTTTTGGGACCCTGTTATATTAGGGTTATGCTAAAGTAAATAGAAGAAAATGCATGGGATTGCCCAAGAAAGCATGTCTCTGAATAAGTTATTTAATATTACTAACTCTTCATTTTGTCAACTATAAAATAGGAATGGCAATACCTACCTTGTTGGACTGTTTATTAGGGTTAGAGTTAATGACACCTGTTTACAATAACATATCTATTATGTATATAATATTATATGGTAAATATTATCTCATATATTATTACATTATGTACTTGTGTATGTTATGTATGTACATAATGTTGAATTAGAGAGAGTAAGATGGAAGAAAATCTCTTAGCAGTTGAAAATTTTGCAAAATTATCTACGAAATGTTCAGTAACCTGCAAAATTTTTATCATTCCATATCTAATCTGTAAATGCTTCACTCAAAATTAGAATAGTCAAAAATGTCAGAAGTTATATAATAAGTATGTTTAATATATCTTTTATTAAATTTCTCACATTTTCAAAAGATTACCTGATTCATTTACTTGTTATTGGACACCAATTATATATTTTAGTGGAAGATGATATCTAGCATATATTGGGAGCTTATTAGAATACCAACAAGTTATAGCAAACCTTTACAAATGAAGAAAGATTCAAAGAGGTTAAGTAAATTTACCAAAGTCAATCAACTAATAATTGGAAGAGCCAGGATTAGAAGCCCATAATCTTTCTAATGTATTCCTGTGTTCTCTTTTAAAGTCTTAAACTGTATTAGTTTTCCAGTGTAGTTTCTCAGTTCAAATCCTAGTTGGTTTAAAGTAATTAGCATGTTGATTACTCTTCTTTTAAGTGACCTAACCAGAGTGTGGGATGCAAAGTCTGGTTTTAGTTTTAGTTCTAACCTTAGCTAACAGAATATGATCTTTAAGAAAACAGAATCTTTATAGGGTTTTAGTATGTTAAGTGGAAGATCTCTTCTATAGCTGAAAAATATATACATTGATTGAAGAAGTATGAATTTCACCCTGATTTATCACTTCTTTCCTTAGCATTCTGCATTTCAGTTTAATTTTTAGAACTCATTCCATTTGTTACTAGGAAATCACAGACTTTTTAAAAATCAGAGCTTGTAGGAGTCAATTCAGCCAATATTGTCTACAGTATGCCAGTTGCTCTATTAGGTGTAGAGAATATAGATATGAATAGAATAACCTACCCTTAAGGAATTTATGGTCTCTTGTAGATTGTATGAATCTCTACTGATATACTGACATAGAAGAAACTGTATTTTCCTTCCCTTTTTTGGAGGGGAAGTGAAGAAGAGAGGAAAAATCCGTGATTAGATTTGAAAAGAGTTTGTGCAATATAAATGTTTTTATAAAGCGGAAATATAGGGGCCATATAATAAAGTATGTGAATGAAGCATCAGAATTCTGTGTGATTTGTTTAACTAATATGCCAATTAAAATGTGTTTGCCCCATGCAAATAATTAATTATAAAAGCGTGTGTTCTGCTCTGTTGAAGCTTCTAATGTGTTAGCCAGGTGTTACTGACAAATGAAGTACATAAACTAAATGAGACTAAACAATAAAG